GTTTTCACCTAACCATATACCCTCCTTTTTTTTTTAATTGGGAAACCTTTTTTTTTTTTTTTTAGTACCTGACTCTGAGGCAGCTGAGCTGTGCTCTTCCGTTCATATCTTTCAAAATCTAGTGGTTTTTGATGATATTTGTGTGTTCTGTTTTGTGGGGAGCTTGTGTTGTTGAATGGTGTTGGGCTTAATTCAGAAATTAGATAGTGAAATCTGGTTTTCTTTAACTAGATTAGAAGATTTTAAAATTCACTTCTGATTTTAAATGTATAAATCATGCACAAAAGCTGTTGAGTTAAATTTTAAATGCATTCACAAGCATAAGAAAAGTTTGAGTGAAACTAATATGAGTGTCCTAATCTAGTATGAGCATATGCAACAACTTTTCTGTGCTTGACATCTAAATACGTAGTAATGTTTGGGGGTTTTTTTCCCTCCTTTTTGTAGGAGCAGCCTTTACTGAAGGATTATCTAGTGGTTTAAGTACTTCTGTGGCTGTATTTTGCCATGAATTACCTCATGAGCTAGGTAAGACCACGATATTTCAGTATGCTACTTGGGTACTTACAGGTGTGCTATGGAGAACTATAGTTTATTTTATTCTGTGGCACAGTAAAATTTGTTTGAATTATTGACGAGAGAACTTCAAGTTAGAAGTGCTGTTGAGCAGATAGTCTAACTTATTTCTAATAAAACATTCATTAAAATCTACACATCTCATCTATGAGCTTCATTTACAGCTCATTGTCTCTTGTGGTTATTTGCAACTTGTCCTGTATAGTTCATTTGTACTGTATTTGTTCTGAAGTACAGCATAAATTGTGAGTTGCAGGGGAATGCCCTTGTTGGAATTTAATTTTGTCATATCCCTGCTTAATTTTATTCTTGTGTTTGTGCTGTTGAAGTAAAGGTCATGAAATTACTCAAATGCCTGCTCAGTCTTGCGAAGAATTGCTGTAGCTCTAAATTAAATTTGCAATTAGTTAAGTCTTTCCTAGAAGTACTTTGTCTTTTCAATTCAAGTGAATTCATACATGGCCATATTTCTCATCTGGAGGTATATGTCTTTAAGTTACAAATTTAGTATTTGATCCTTTTGCAATAAAGTTCATGAGAACAGAATTTAATGTTTAGTTTAACTCACAGTGAAGCTGATCTTGTTTTCAATGGTTGAATCCCTTTGAATGTGTAACTGGCATTTCTTTTTTTAGCTGTCAGGGCCATGATCATATCTGGTGTATAGAATGAGGGAAGAACAGTCAGACACCCTCCACATCCCCTTGTTTTTGTTAATGCTCTTGAAGTTGATCAGTTTTATTTAACTGACCTTTTAAACCTGTATGTATATACATCAAGCTACTTATTATTGTGCAGATGATAAATACATCAGATGACTCTTTATGTGGAGAAAATACCAGTTTTTATGACATGGTTAGAAATGAGTCTTGGTTATCCCAATATAAATTCTATAGGAATTGTGGAACTTGTATTAATTACATGTGCATCTACTAAACGTATGTATGAGTATAGAAAATAAATTGTTATGAATGTGATATCTTGGATTCAAATGTTTTGTTTGTTTGGCAAGCAAGAAAAATCTTTTAAAATTTGAATAGAAGACAAAATATTACACAAATACCTTTTTTTAAAAAGAGATCGTGGACTGGCATCATAATACTAAAACAAATGGAGGTAGCTAAAATTAGCTGGGGAGAAAAATCTGATTACTGTTCTCATGAAAATTATTTAATGACAGTATTAATACCAATTCAGCTTAATTTTGTAACGTCTTTTGGGGAAAAGCTGTTGTAACAAATTTCTCAACTCAACTTTGAAGACTGCTCTTGTTCACTTTAACTGGAGTGAAGTGTTCTTTTTGAATAGAATCAACTTTATTTTCAAAATGCCCTTAAAAAGATTGTATTTCAGTTCTTTTACATCAATATTATGTATCCAAACAAAACAGACATACTTTGAATGATGGGAAAAACTTTCTGGCTCATAATCTATTATTCTTTCAAGTAAAATTAAGACATTACAGGTCACTTACAGAAATGAATAAAGAAATTCAAAATTTAGAAACAAGTAGACCTAAAGCATAACAAACAGGTACAGGATAACAAATAGAACCATCTTGGCACTGTTGTTTTATGCTATTAAGTGGGGATTTTTATTTGTTTTAGAAACTGTGTTGGAATGCTCATGTGTATCAAGTACTGCAACATTTTATAGTGTTGGTTTAAATACTGAAGAGACTAAAAGCTTCTTCCAGAAATCCTAGAAGTATTGTAAATTTCATAGTACTGGCTGCTGTTGTTTTTCATGTGTTTTTATTTTTTGTGTTTCCAAGTAACTTCTAATTTTATGAAGAAAAACCATAAGACAACAGCATAAAAATAGCTTAGAGATATTATAAGCGCTAAAAAGAAATAATAACTGCAATAATTACATGTGGAGGAAAATTTTGTTTTTTCCTGCTGTAGGAGATTTTGCTGTGCTTCTAAAAGCTGGTATGACTGTCAAACAAGCTGTGCTTTATAATGCTCTGTCAGCTATGCTGGCCTATCTTGGAATGGCAACTGGGATTCTTATTGGTCATTATGCAGACAATGTTTCAATGTGGATATTTGCCCTTACTGCTGGCTTGTTCATGTATGTGGCACTTGTAGATATGGTAAGTGACTAGATCTTCTTAAATTTTACATAATATAGCTTAAGTATTAGTGCCAGTTATATTTTAACCATAAAAAAACCCTTCCATCTTTTCATCATCAATAAACTGTTTTTTGGGGGGGAATTGAGGACTAAATGTAAGTGCTTAGTTAAATATTCAGATGTGAGATTCCTTTTATTTACATTAATGTTGGAACAGAGCTTTTTTCTGCCTCTGTATTTAATTGGAGGCAGCTAACAGTGGAAATAGAGTAAAACATTTGCTTCTGACAGTGGCTGATGTAGCAGATAGTGTGCAACTTGCAGTCTGATTGGCTGTCAGCACCACCAAAGATGTGTTTGACTTTTGCAGTATATCAGTAAGGCCTCTTGGAATGAAGCCAGAATAGTATAGCCAAAATCTATACTGTTCCTCAGAAGTACATTTGTACAGAAGTACAAAGTACTTGATCAAACTTTCATGAACAATCACTGTCTGTCTAAGAATAAAATCTCTAAACTGGCTTGATTAAGTCAGTTGATAAATAAGCCAACCATTTATTCAGAGTATAATTAAGACATCAGCATAATTATGAAAACAGTTTTTTGTAATTAGAGACAGAGAGAGGTTGTAATGGTCTGAACAGCTCATAGGAAAGTAGATTCTGATACTGTTACTCATGTTGGCTCTCACCTTATTCAAGGAGTAGTATTAATCAAGTCAACAGGAATGACTACCAGAATAATATTCAACTTTCACATGCCTAATGGTGAAAGAGCCTGATTTTAAATAAGTATGTATTTTGAAGTAACTTACCACTTTCTTGTTTGCTTAGGTGCCTGAAATGCTCCACAATGATGCTAGTGATCATGGATGTAGCCGCTGGGGATATTTCCTATTACAGAACGCTGGGATTCTGTTGGGTTTTGGGATAATGCTGCTTATCTCTGTATTTGAACATAAAATTGTATTCAGCATAAACCTGTAGTCCTGGTTTCCAGGAGCAAAGTTTAGTGTTAAATTATAAATGGTACAGCTTTACCCTCCCGCTTAAATTCTGTAATGCAGAGGTAGGTTTGTAGATTAGATATTTTTATTGGTGTGCTTTCCCCCTCCCCCCCCCAGTAGAAATGCATACTGTGTAAGTCTTTTCACTCAGTGTTTAGTGTTGCATATGGTACTGTGGAAAGTCACACTTAGTAAAGCATGGTGAAAGTGCCAAATCCATTAAAGGAGTATCATCATTTGGGGAGAGGGGATTTTTTAAAAATTTTTTGTGAATTTATTTACTGTATGTAACTATATGAAACTGGTATTTTTTACTTGAATAGTTTTGCCAGTATAAACAAATAAAACAGTGGTTTTTATTATAGCACAATCACAAACAGTTGATACAAAGCTCAGTGACCAGTGTAAAGCAAGATAAAGATATGTAATGAGTAGCATAGTTTTGGTAGTAATTAATCACTTCTGTTTCCATCTAGTCTATATGGAACGTCAGATGGGTCCACTTCCACCTTTTTAAGGTGGTTCTACTCAGAATAGCTTGTGGATTCTTTTTCTTCATTCAGCTTGATTTCCACTCCAAATAATTCATGTGAAATCCTGTTTTAAGTGTTTGTACTAAATGCGTTTTACTTGTTTGATCTTTTTTCATGTGAGATTATTGATTTCTCAAGTACAGCTATTTTATTGTAAAAGCATAGCTATGTCTCTAATATACTCAAATTCCATCAAAAAGAGTTTTAAAGTAGAGATATATTGCATTTATGCTGCCTGAAATGGCAATATTGTGTTACAGTCTGGTTACAGTCTGGTCTCCAATTGGGGTACAGTCTGGAGGAGTGCTATAGACTGAGACAACAGTCACTTACTACAACAGCTTTTTTAGTGTCAGTATGTTCTAGGGAATTAGCTGAGTGGGAGAGCTGAGTGGTTCCAGTTCAATGTGCTTGCATACTATAAACCTAAGCTATGCAAAACTACGTTCTTTGCAACAACTTAAGCTGGTGCATCCAAAAAAGCAAAAATTCTTTGACAGCATATATAGGGAAGCAGCACGTGAAATTAAGAATAATTATTGCTAATGTAATGTGTAGATTGAGCTTACTTTCTACAGTTTAAGATTTTCACCATCCTGAAAGCAACTAAGGGAAAGAAGGATGAAAAAAATCATTGTAAAAAAAAAAATCTATATTTGCAGGGAAGACGGACAAACATTAGTTCACATAATTTCTTATTCATTATGTAAAAGTTAAGAGACATCATCTGAATCATGCTGTCTTAACTAAATAGCATTACAAACTAGAAACGAAACCACTCAAACTAATTTCTGATCCCAATTTACCACTGCTTCAAATCGCAAGCTGAATGAAAAGTTTAAAGAGGAAGCATTTGATAATACCATGTCTGATACGTTAAATGGTCTGATAGATGTTCATCTTGCATAAAATTAAAATCAAAACTACCACATCACATCAGAAATGGATATTTCAAATGAATTGAAAGGTTTTTACCAGTTAAAAAACAGTGTTTCTGCAGCCAATGGAATATTACCTGGAATTATTCCCTTTTCCTTGTCCTTTGGTCTTTCCTCAGATTAACTAGACTGAGATTTAATCTTCTTTGCATATTCATAAGATGCTGATTTTTTTTTTCAACATTTCTTAAGAAAGCTGAAATAATCAGCATAGGTCTGTTAAGGTTTTAATATTAATGGTGGAGCTCATATTGATGATTTATGTAAGGATGGATTTTTCTGTTTGTTTTTTGTGAAGAATTGTTACCAAATTTTAAAAAAATCTATAAGAAATGGATTGAACTTTGTTTCTGTACTTTAAAAAAAAAATCAAGTAATATCAACTTTTCAATAGCAGTAGAAAATTAAAGGGAAGGGACAAAGCGTGCTCAGTAAAACACTTTATTTGCTCCTTTTTCTTAAGTGCTGTAAAGGTCACCTTTCCTGTCTTACAAGAGGTTCCTCCTCTTAAGGATGGGAGGGTTCTGCTGACAATTCCCTGTAATTTCCTCTTCTAAAGTAGTTTGAGCAGTGCAGGAGCCAGCAGAGCTCATCATCATTCACCTGATCCATATGGTGATCCTGCAAGTTGAGAACTGCACCTTCAAAGGAAATCTCTCATTCGTTACATCCTCATGTATTCAGAGGAGGACAAGTTGATTTCCTCAGTATTTGAACATTGCATATGAAACAGGATTTCAGTCTCCTTGCCTTTCAGTAAGTGAAGAAAGGCATCTCTATAGCTATTGCAGCCTGAGGGGAGCCCCCTCAGGTGTTGGGGTCTTACCCAGCTCCCCCAAATCTGCATGTATATGAACCTGCATATCTCTTTGTTCAGTGATCCACAGAGAAGACCAGACTTTTCTGGGGAGTGCTCATTTTCTTCTTTTTTTTTTTTTTTT